CTTACTGACTTGAGTGTTTAAAAATATGGGCATTTATGTTTTTGACCTTATGATATTTTTATTTATTTATTTATTTTATTTTTTTCACATTATGTATGAAAGATTTTGTGTGTGCATGTAACAGTGTTAAAAACAAGTATATTTACTAAAAAATATACGTTGAAAAATAACAATAACAAAGCTTGGCCAGTAGGTGGAGGATGAGATCCCTGACGCTGCACCCCCTCCCGCTCCCCCATTCCCCTCCCACGATCCCACACTAACTCCCGTGGACATAAGAAATGTTTACCTAATGTACTCTATGTTTTTAATCGTATGATTGTTTATTTTTTTTGCACATTCTGTTTTAACGATTTTGTGTGCATGTAACAGAGAAAAAAAATATGTATACTGTATCTACCCAAAATCTGAGTTTAAAAATAACAATAACACAGCTTGGCCCAGTAAGGGGAGAACTAAGGGTCGAGGGATGTAGTTACAGGAACAGACTAACTTGGCGACATGCAATGTCCACACATACACGCCCATGCTCTTCATATTTTTGTCTAATAGCAACATATGTTTATATACAGTAAGGTACACTCCATATAATCCAATAAAATAACTACAATATCATAAAAACAATATAAAAAACACTGTGAGTGTAAGGGCGGAAACTATCTTCCTGCTTGTTACCGCTGCTTACTCGCTTGTTTGCTGGTGCGACTAACACTTGGGTGGTTGGACAGAGGTGAGAACGGCAGCTGCTACCCATGTCACCGGCAGATTCACCCCAGCCGCCATACAGTCACTATCTAGCTACCCCACTGTTCGTCAAATTCTGGCTGTGATCTCATCATAGGTCCTGGACTGGTGGGCTGTCCCCCCAGACCTTCACTTATCGACTGTTAATTCTCTGGTCATCTACCACTACCACATACCACGACCGTCAGTTCATCTCATTCCGTCTGAGCCCCGGTGTTCTCCTGCCATTTCAAGACGTCGCTCGAGTGTGGAGTTGAATGGACGCTTCCCTACCATGTGTGTGGATCACCATGTTCCAGAACCTTCTCCCAGGGCCACTGCCGTAGGAAATATCTGTTCATTGTTTGATTCTATCAGTTGTTGACTCCCATTAATTGTTTGATTCTATTAATTGCTGACTCCCATTAATTGTTTGCTCCCTTTAATTGTTTGCTTTCATTAATTGTTTGACTCCATTAACTGTTGACTGCCTTAATAGTTTGACTCCCGTAATTGTTACTTGATGTTTGTTGAGTGGTGTCAGAGTTTTGTGTTATATTTTTTACAGTAAAGAGATGTCAATCTCAAACGGTTGTTTGCTATTCCTCAGAAAACCATGGTCCTTGACTTTCCTTTATTAAGAACCTGATTAGTCTGGTAAGGGATTTCTATCCCTAATTCCCAGGCCTTGACAGTGAGTGCGTAAGAAAGAGGAAAGAAGACAACAGCTCCGGCCGAAATAGCCAAAAGGTGAGGTGGCCAGTAATCCCTAAACAAGCTAAGCCAAGTGTGTGTGTATGTGTGTGTGTGTGTGTAAACATTTAAACTAGCATATAAAGTTAGAATGCGTGGCATGTTCTTCATGCTGCAGTTTGGAGTGTACAGGAATGGGGCAAACATCTCCCACATGTGCTCTGTGTGAATAGTCCTATTGCACTTCATTATTTTCTCAACTGCACAGGTCCTAACACACAGATAAAAATACGCTCATGTGAAGAGGGCCTTACTGTGGAACATGAGAGCTGCGGCTAGCCTGCGCGGTTTGAAATATTACTGTAGGGTACTGTAATTTTTCTTTGCAAATAAGCGAGGAATGCTTTACAAATACCGGTATTGAATAGGGGTGCTAAAATGTCAATTGTGGATAAGCGGGAATGCAAACAGCGAGGTATTCCTGTATATAAATCCAGGGAAAACACTAGCGTCTAACACGCATGCCGCATGGGTAATAAACACCAGGGTGTTGTTAGACGTACAGGTATCCATGATGCAATAATAGTTTACATACATTTTTATAACAAATTGCCTAAATTTTACTTACTCAAAATCTTGCAAAATTTTTCAGATTTATATTTCCATCAACATAATTAACCTTATCTCAAAAATCTACTAAAAACATCTGCTTTAAGGAGCTAAGCATCTCAACTTATAAAGTGCCAGCACCGCATAATGTCATGCCTGTACTAGTGACCTCCTCTCACATGATAGCAGCATAACCCAAGATTATCTAATATACTATACGAATAGCCGTGTGAGTGTGTGTTCTGGGCAGCCGAAACGGCACAATCGTTTTTCATCAAACTTGGTGGAAAAATCGCAAATAATTCGTAGAGTGGAACAAACCTGGTCCCATGTCGATGGTTTCTTTAGGAAGGCATTAATTAACCATTTTGTCGCTGTACGCTGTCAGCCGGAAAGCGGTTGCGCGCTGGCCAAGCACTAGCGTTCAAACTTTCACCGGGCACGAAGGGCCCACGTTCACTTGTATGCCACTAAGATGATTCCCAGATAGAAAATTTTCTCACATTTGGACGATTCCCACATGGACAATTATAGCTAAAAATTGTCCATACATCATAAATTCTATGAGAAATACTGTTTATTTTAGAAATATATTATGAATTATATTAGGAGAGGAGGAAAGAGGCCAAGGGATTGCTCGGTGATGGATCTTAGTAACTCCTGTCTCCCATGTCCTGTATGTAGACATGATTGCTAACTGGCAAAGTAGTATTTTTTCATTTCTTTTATTTTTTCTTCACATTTACTGGTAAACATCCTTTGTGATAACCAGGGTATTCCTGTATTAGTGAGCTACTTTAGAGCTGTATGATGTTTTTGAAGTTTAGTTTTGGAATGTTTTTGGTGTGTGTGTGTGTGGGGACTTTTGGGGGCCCACCTGACATATTCTCTATCTCCTCATGTTATAATGGGTTTGCTCTACACAGCATTTTCTGGGAACACAAATTTCATGTTAATCGTGCTAGAAATTTAATACTTGTAGAGCAGTTTCATTTCTTATTATGGTTATTTTTAGATTATACAAGATGCATTTAACACTACAGGTATATATATGTCATATTCAGGTACACACAAACTTAAAATAAAACCGTGGATGATGCAGACAAAATATATGTACAGTAAAACAGTTGACGTATAATAAAAATTTCTTCCTATATGTATTTGTTAGCGATGTGCAGTATATGTGAAAGGACATATACAAGTAAATTGCTCTTAAACTAAGGATGTTGAGAGCCAGTGTAAGATTGAAATACTCAATAACTTAAAATTGAAATGCCTTCCATTTTTTTTTTGGGGATCTTTTCCTACAATGATTATGTCTGATGTCATTCTGCTTCTGCTAAAACAGTGCCCCAAAACATTTATCTGGTATTCTGGTTTATTCATGTTACTCCATCAGTAGACAATGCCCAATTAAAGCATTCTGGGATAGTGATGATGCCATGGTTTAATATCTGTCATAGCTTACCTCATAAAATTGTTTCCAAAATATTTTTAGTTCATGCCAGGATAAAAGACAATAGGTGCAATATTTATGGCCAGGCAACTTAATGAGAAAAATCTAGGGAGGAAGTGAAATATACCATGTGAAGTAGAAAGTGGGCAATGAAAAAGCTAAGGGTTCAAGGAGTGCCTTGTTTGAAAGGTTGTGGCATTATATGAAGGATCAAAAACTGCTGTGAACATAAATGGTGTGGAAAGTGAGGAATCTATGTTGACAGCAAGGGTTCATCATGGACCTGTCTTGAGACCCCTTCTGTTCGTCATGGCGCTGGAGGCAATATCATGAGATTTTAGGACTGGTCTACTTAGGGAGCCGTTGTATGTTGATGACTTGGTGCTTAAAGAAAATAGTATTGAAGAAGCAGCAGAGAAATTTAACCCTTAACCTCAGGGTGACGTTCCTGAATGTTTGCCTAGGTGACCACGGGTGAGTTCTTGAACGTTCTTTATTTTCGCTGCATATTTTGAATGTTCAGGCAGGAGGAAATACTTGTATGGGATATTTGTGTAACTGGTAAATCAAGTCATGTGTATGTGTCAAGACTTGTGCCCCAATGTCAGTTATCCACTAGATATTGTGAGGGATGCACATACAATGCACATACAGTACTTAGACCTCTCTTATGACCCACCTCGATCCTACACACCCAAGTGCAAGCGAAGGCATTTGTTTGACAATATTGCTGTTCATCAAGAGTTGCTCCTTGGGGAAGAGTGCAAGGAATGTGGACTTGCCTTATGTATTCCATGTTACAAAGATTTCCACACAATCAAGAAGTTATAATTCAGTAGGAGTACATGTAAATTGTGTATATATTTGAAAATAGTAAAAAGTTTTGTGCTGCCTGAATATTCCTACTGTTCACAATTTTATAGTTCTTTTAAGGAAAATAAAAATATTTTGTGTTTCGTAGTAGCTATAAGATAGAAATATGATATAAAAGGGCCTTCATGTAAGAACTGTGTGTTGCAAGTGCATGTCAAAATCACTTCCCACTCACTGTGGACTGTGCGCAGTAACTTCAAACAACACATCTTACATCATTCGATATTGCTCATCAACATTCCAGACAACTCCCCAACCATGCTACAATGAAAGTTGAATGTAAGTACAGTACATTTTTTAAGGTATTTTCCTTATAGTGATCAACCCATTTATAAGATGACAATTTATTTTATTCTATTTTTTTTTTTTACCAAAATATACCGATGTGGGGGAGGGGGGTGTGTGTGTTGGCGGGTCTTATGACATCCAGGGTCTAAGGGTTAAGAAAAGGAAGGACTAAAAATAATAAATAAATAAATAAAAATAATAATACAGTGTAATAATAAAATAATAATAATAATAATGTCCTCTATGAAATGGTCACAATGTAGTTGGTCATGAATTAGATTAAAACTCCAAGCAGTTTCCACGGAAAAATGCTAAAATACCAAATAAGTACAAGAATATCACACATGTGACACCCTACCTTTCTCAGTATTTCTGGAGAGTTTGGGAAGTCTTAGACGGGGTAGATCAATTGGAGCCAAAGACCGTCTGATTTTTGTTCCATCAGTTCCTGTTTTAGTTTTCATGTTACCATTTCCATCTGCTTCTGCTCCACAGTCAAGTATGTTAGGTAAACTTGAGGCTTTTTTGCTGTCCTGTAAAGAAAAACAAAAAAATTTAGGTGCTGACCACGAAATCTCAAGCTTGAATTAAGTAACTCATCTCATATCAGACAAGTTTATAGCTGACACTGATGCTAGACACTAATTTGAAAATTTAATTACCTTCTCTTCATACCCAAGCATATAAAAGAAACCTGTGAAAATGAGTACCTATTAAAGACTGTGAATCATTGTCACACGTATTTCATGATGCCCATTTAACTCTGCTACAAAGTGCCATCCCTGAGTCAATCACCTCAATACCATTTCATCTCAGGAAAGAAATGTGAATTGTCCTATCTGGGCTTGGCAATTCCTCATTTATAACTTGATACCAGGCTTGGGTTGTATCTAAAGCCACCTATAAAAGGAAAATGGAAGCAACAAGAAGCTCCAAATGCAGACCCAAAAGGGAAGTAAATTAACCTATTACATGAACAGTGGTAAGAGAGAAACTAACTTTATACTGTACTATACAAACAATCCCTAGGAGTTTATTCTTTTTTGCTTCTTTTCAACATAGTAACTGAATACAAGGTGTGGCTACTTGTCCCAAGCCCCAGACTAATTGGGAAAGTTCACTCACCACATAAAGTTCTTGAACACTCTAAAGGTCATACACTGACAAAACAAACGAGAAATCTCAACAATGCTCTCTGAGGAAGAGTTATAGCAGATTAAATTACTTATTTTCACCTGCAAATGCTATAAAAATACAAGCAACATATATTATTATGAAATACTGAGTCACTCTGCAACCAGGCATACCAACCATTCTGAGAAGACATGAGCCATAGTGCTCATTCTGAAATCTCTCGTGACAAGCTGTTCCGAGACATTTTTGTGGGGAGTGTACATCAAGCCCCTGAAACAAATGACCTGCTCCTGCTTTTCATTATTAACAGTAACCACTACAACTTACACCTATTATTCATTTATTATAATGCAATCATTATAATTAATTTATCATATTGTAATCCTCATGTTTCACATCAAAGCAAGCACTTGCTCTAAGCATGGCCATGGCCAAGAGGTCGAACTCTTGACCTCTAAATTGATGAGCTGGCCTCATTCACACCCGAACAATCCAAAATATTTTTTCTCTATTTCATTCCCTGACTATAATGCTTCTCCTCACCTATTAACAATATTTTCAAAAGTTCATCCCCTTTCAATACTAAAGCCTTAATATCCACATTTATCTCTTTCAAAATACACTCATGGGTATCTTACAAGTAAAACTCACTGCAAGATATCTATGACATACAATGACTCTCTACATTATAAGTCAATGTCCCTAGAACTGATTCTCTGGAATCATCTTATAGAAGCTTTAGTGTTTGCTCTGTGACAAATACTGTATCATTTATTAAACAAATGTATATGCATTTGGAACTGTAGCTATCAACAACAAAACTTTACTGTACAAACCTTTGTCTGCTCATGAGATATGTATTGTTCTTCAGTACCTCCAAATAAGTCAGCACTGACTTTCTTGCTTTCAAACCCAAGAATAAAGTATGTATTAAACCCTAGAAAAGAAGAAAGAAAAAATTAAGAACTATGGCACCATTTCCATATCCTTGCTCTTAACATTAAGCAAAGTTCTAAGCAGGTTTTTTAAACTTCTCCAAGGAAATCATTATATTTAGGAGTTACAAAATACAAAGGAATGAAGTATGAGATACCATTTTATGACCAAGGGGAAGAACAACTAACTAATCAGCGGAATCAATGCATGCACAACTCCCTGGCAGAACCTGTCTTGCTCATGGGGGCAGCCTATGTTCTGAAGCAAGTGCAGGAGCAGTAAATTGTCACTTGCTCATTCAGCAAGGTCAAAAAACAGCTTAAGAACACTCAGACATAAGAAATGATAACAAATGGTGTATGTGTGTGTGTGTGTGTGTGTGTGGGGGGGGGGGGGTCTCCTGGGTCCAGCCACCCTACATTTAGGTGGAAGATTTGAAATACTACAACATAAATAAAAAGCAACATTATAGTTCTCTGTTTATCAAAATCATGTGGAAACGATTTATAATACAGTGGTCCCTCGATTAACGAGCATAATTGGTTCCTCAGAGTCAGTCATTAACTGAATCTATTATTTCAATGGGATATTAGATAATTGGTTCGAACTCACAGAAAAAATACATAAAAAGTACTGAATATCAGTAATATAATTACCAAAACATTAAATATAAACAAACTACTGTACAGTACTGTGCTGTACAGTATACTGTACAATAATAAATAAAAAACATTGTTTACATCGCAAACAGCTGATTGCAGAGACAGTCGATGATGACATGACATATTCTTTACAGAGTGCATTGGTTCTAATGTCTTCTTCGTATTTATTAACTTTTAAACCCTGGGATAGGGTACTGCTGGCAGTAGCCTCCCCCCCCAGGAATAAATAAAAAAATTCAACTCCCCAAAAAAAATTGCCAGGAATAGGCGGACGCTCTGGAACATCACCCGGGGCCTAGGGGTTAATAATTTCTGCACTGTATATTACAGGGTAGCAATATGTTAACTAAATTTCAGAATAACCAATAAATTTACAGTAATGTAAAATGAAAAAAATATTCAAGAGACCAACAAACTTGATGTTTACTCCAATGTAAACAAAGTTAAACTGAGAAGCGTTGGCAGGAGATTCGATCAGCTAATGGGTACACAAAAACTGTACCCTGCACTGTATATATTATCAATATGTTAATCCAATTTCAGAATGACCAATAATTTTAATATATAAAATGCAAAAATATTCAAGAGCACAAATTTATCGATATTTACTCCACTGGAAACAAATGTAAACATGGAACCGATTACTGTATTGGCGGACTAGCCGATCAGTTGATGTGCGCACCAAAGTGTGTTTTTCGTAAGGCTGTCGTTAATACAGTAGAACGTCGATTTAAAGCGACACCCACAATTAAGGACAATGTTTTACAGTGGTTCCTTGGTTAACGAACAGTTCGATTAACGAAATTTCAGTTAACGAATTACCTCCCATAAGGATCCTCAATTCGGTTAACGAACAAAACTTCGATTAACGAAATCCTTACGACAAACACGTTTTGTTGTGAGCATCAGCTGATCAGCTGATGGGCTAGTCTGCCAATTCATTAGTCTGTTCTACGTTTACATTTGTTTCCAGTGGAGTATATACAGTTGGGTCTTCATTTACGCGGTCAATTGAACCCGCGGAGTACCACGTAAAACGAGAAACACATAAATGAAATAACAGAACATATGGGATATATTGAAATAGAGACTGGGCCGACCCCCAAACTCCAATTTTTCTTACACAATACGTACCTTGTAGTCATAATAACATCTTAATTTTATGATGGTATGCACACACAATTAATAATTAAGAGAAATATCAATAATATTAGGTTTTTTAATACTTACGTTAATAGAAAAGATGGCTGGGCACACGGGGATGGGAGGCTGGTTCCGAGGCAGAGGGCAGATTACTGGCCCTCACCTGTATCACTTGTATCAATTGTATCACTATCCACCAAATCGGCTTGCAGGGCCTCTTTGTCAAACCCCTCAAAGTCCATATCCTCACTATCACTGACTTGGGCCGGCTGTGGTGGGTGGCGGGTGAAGAACTCGGTAATGTTTTGATGACTGGGCGACCTTGTGCGCACCCTGCCCACGCCGCTTCCCGCGTAAATGACAAAATTTACCACGTAAATCAAGCATTTCAATTCTGGCAAGGCACCGCGTAAACCAAAACCGTGTAAATCCAGACTCAACTGTATCAATAAAATTGTGCTCTTTCATATTTTTGCATTTTTTATATTAAAATTATGTCATTTTAAAATTTAGCTAACATATTGATATTATATGATGTACAGGGAGCTAGTTTTTTGTGCGCCCATCAGCAGCTTGACTCACCCACCAGGCGTCAGTTTGGCTTTGTTTACAGTGGAGTGAACATCGATTTTGTTGGTGTCTTGAATATTTTTGCAATTTTACATTATAATTATTGGTCATTCTGAAATTTAGTTAATATATTGATAATATATAGCGCAGTGCAGTGTTGATTTAAATAAAATAATCTTGAATTTCACCTAGTGAACTTAAAATTTTATTGGTGAAATTACTGCATCAAGCATGGGTTTCCTGAAGGGTGATTTCTCCTCCATCCCCACTTCCTTCTCTTCTCCCTTCTCCTCCACCCCCACTTTTAATTCCCATCAACATCAACCAGGAACCTTCTACATACACACCTCAAAGTAAGTGTACTTTACTGCATTTTTTTTACTTTGTATGCACTTTTCTGTGAGCTGGAACCAATTACCCAATTTCCCATTGAAACAACGGATTCGGTTAACAAACGACTCTGTGGAACGAATTGTTTTCGTTAACCGAGGGACCACTGTAATTTAAATCGAATCTTTCTTATTTTGCACGAGTCAATCTGGCACATCATATTTTAAAATTCACACCTAATGTTTCTCTGGGCACGCTACACTGTCCTAAGGGCAAACCTGTACTGTACATGCACTCAAAATAATGTACTAAATATTACTAAAATTTTTGTCTCGTGCAAACTATAGCATGATTATATTCAAATTAATCACAATCTTATAAGAATTCCAGCAATGTAAATTATATTCTCCCCATTCACTTATGTGACATTTTATAAAAAAAAAAAACTCAATCTAAAGGGCATAAATAAGTAAACAAATAAATACTTCACTAGACCTTCGGCGCCAACTGTCAAACGTGTCACTGTCATACCCCCCCCCCATCTTCCCAGCCAGGGTTGGGTGGTTATAGGCTTAAATTTTTTATCTTATACAGTATAATATCACAGACTAAAGTTAGGAGAATATAATTTGCATTGCTAGAATCCTTGCAAGATAGCAAATAATTTGAATATAAATGTCATATATTTTGCACAAGAGATAAAAATTTTAGCCCTTTGTAATAAAATTAATTAGGAAATGTCAGTTCAGTGACATTTTATAAGAGAAAAACTTAAAGTCACTCTTAAGGACAGATAAATAAATAAGCACTAGATCTTGGCATCAACTTTCAAACATATCACCTCCGCCCCCCCTCCCCATCAGTTGATCGCTAGTAAACAGACCATTTCACGTCCCATAATTTTAGCTGTGTTGATTTATGAGTGTTTGTTTTAACATAATACTACAAAAAAGAATGTTTTGTTTATTCTAGGAGATGGGCTGAGTATTTTGTGTTTCTCTCAAGTACCAAACAAAATTATTCCATTGAAACAACACTTCAATTTAGTGCGAATTCGGTTTAAATCGACCTCTCTTGGAACATATCCCGTGTTATATCGATGTTCTACTGTAGAATTTGTACTCGTTAATAGAACTGAAAATCCTTATGGGAGCTAATTCGTTAACCGAAATCTCGTAAATTGAACCGCTCGTTAATGGAGGGACCACTATTAATACAATACCCAAATATCAATTAAGAGGACATCTCTTATTATATAAGCAATCTTTTAGTGAAAATAATCATATTAATAGTCATTTTATGTACAAGCATGTACAGTCTCGCTCAAGATTCTTCGAACACTGCTGGAGACTGCTGGCAACTCAAGGCTGTTTATTTACTATAGTACATAGTATAATATAATACGAAACAACAAAGCCCAACCATTAAATTAAGCAACGTGGAACGAAGTAACCAATCACCGATCACCTTTAAATTTTTTCAAAATTTTTACTACGGCCTTGAGTTGCCAATTGTCTCCAGCAGTGTTTGAAGACTCTTGAACAAGACTGTACCATATCTGAATTTTAACAAACACAGATAAACCTCTATTTGCGATGGGGTTAGACTTTTTTTAAGGCCTATTACAGATTGAAATTCATGAATCAGGTTCATTATGACAAAAGGTTCAATGGGATTGGTTCCTGGCAAGTCGGACATCCATATTAGTTGATAATCTTTCTTCCCTTTCTCTTCACCGCAACGTTGCTTCACTCTCCCTCTTTTACAGGTACTTTAATGGGTAATATTCGGTGGACTTGGCATCCTGTGTACCGCCGGCAAGGCCATGGGCTCGTAACACTCGTCTTGCCAGTGGTTCCCACCGTTTCTCTGTGGATGTCGGTCACACTAGAATAACCCGTTATAGTACACCCTTCTTTCCTCACACAGCCAAACTGTGGAATGCTCTGCCCTCTTCTGTGTTTCCATACTCATACAATCTGTCTCACTTAAAAAAGCTGGTTTTCCGGCATCTTAGTGGTGTAGATTAATATAATCTTTTTCTTTTCCATCTTTAATTTCTTTTTACTCTTATTTTTTTCGCCTCTTTGGCCCTATTGTGGGTCGATGACCTGTGCCCGGGTGGGCTATTTCCCATAAAAAAAAAATAAATAAATAAATAAATAAATAAAAAAAAATGTATCCTCGAAATAAGACAAAAAAAATCCTTGAATACAACTAGCACTACTCATACAACACTCACCACATCATTAAGAACAAGTCTAGACATCATCACATGTCCCCTTCAAGGCTAAGGGGACTCTTAAAGTGGAGTAAAGTGGAGACATGAACCTGAGTCAATCAGTCACGCGCACAGACACAAAAAAAAAAAAAAAGTCTGAAAAATGGGGACTGGAAGTGCAGCCTTTTCAAAGTTACACTATTCACTTCACAGTTATAAAAAATAATAATAATAATGGGTAATCAATTCTTTTAAGAACGAATGTAAAAAAAAAGGTTGCGATGGAGGTGTGGTAGGGGATTAGTGGGTCTCATGTTTCTGACCTGACCTGGCTAATGTAATGTGGAGGTGGGGTGGGGGATTAGTGCTCTCATGCAATGTCAGCTTCCACTGGAATCATTGCACTACAAAACGATCAAGACTTACAGTGAATCAAAACACCCAAATCATCAATAATCATCACTCATCTCATGACTAGTATGCAATCTAGGCCTAATGACTGTGTGCTAAAAGTAAAAAACTTATACGTCAGACATTTTTAAGTGGAGAGAACATGTAGCTTTAAATTCCTGAAGAACAAGTAAGGTTTGCTGCATAGTTTCCAAGTTTACATCCAAGGGATCTATTATATTTTACAAGTTCAGGGTTCATAACCCTCGTCTTAAGGAGTGAATGGCGCTCTACAGCTCCTGCACTAATCCAATAAGGACGGTATCTCTGGCTCAAAAGACAATGGCCTCCTGAACAAGAAAAGATGTTATTTGGGAGGATAATTTCCCAAGTGAATTGAAAAATGAAGTACAGGCCCTATAAAGAAATGGTACAACATTTTCTATATTCTAAGCATACCTTTAACCTCTGCCCCCTCAATGGTATCATAAGTATCCTTTGGCAAGAACTTGAGAGTAGCTTCTGATACATGTACTTGACCTTGTCGTCCTGTTGATTCCATTTGATTGGCAAGAGTAACATCATTGGACCATACATCAAATTTGAAGCGCTTTGTACCAACAATACCACACAACACCTACGTGGAAATAATTTGATTAGAAAAACAAAAATTATCATATTAACAAATATATCATTAATCATTATGCAATTTAACCTTGGAAATCTTGCCCTGTTGAGACCCAAAAACCTGCTAGATTTGTTACCCGGTAAGTGCTTGTACTCACTTTAAAACCATGAAGCATTTCCATGATGCAGTTCCTGAGGTAAATTACAGTTCAGTTTATGGGTAAACAGCAATTAAGTAGCATATACTTAAAAAAAATAAAAACATGTAGAGTACAGTATTCAATACTAAGAAAAACAACACACCATCATAGAAAACTGCAGTGAAAAAGTAAAAAAAAATAGTGATACAGTATTCCCTTAAAGCTAGCTGTTTTAAAGCTCGTGTCCCTCAGAAACTTACGGACTGCCATGGAAAACAAATAAAATAAATCTGAGACTGTGTGCCAGGGATCAAGAGGAGTCAACACTACAAGACAGTACAGGGTATATTTTGGAAAAATTATTTTTGCAGATTTAATAGCCTACTGTATTGGCAAAGCCAAATCACTGGCTATATGCTGTTATGTTTCTCACTATCACTTTATGGACCTAATTATCAAATATTTGTTGGTATTATTAACAAAATTTATCTAATTTAATACAAAAGGATATACCTGTAATTATGCATATAGGTACCTACTGTATACACATTACAAATACTTATTGGTACCAGGCATGTTCACGAGGAACTGTTCAGTACAGGGATTGTTTACATTCCACCAGATCAGCTGACGTTTCAGAGGTATTATCTTTCCATCGTCACTACCACAACTAACTAACACTGTGTGGACCTAATGTCCATATACAGTGTTATTTCATATTTATATTTATTTATGTTATTTCACATTTATTATATTGTCTTGTGCATACATAAAGTTGTTATACATATGCATATAGCTATTTATATATATACCATATTTTTCACCCTCCTGGGATCGGCATGAAAAACTCGCGGATTTTGCTTTATCACGGGGTCCATTTTACCTAAGCCCCGCGAGCTTTAAGGGAATAATTTATTGGGAGTCCTCGCTATACAGGGATGCATTCCTAAAACACAGATGGCCAAGTGATTTGGCAACTGAATGAACAGAAACGAGAAATAATACCTTAAACAAGGGATAATACAGTATCTGTGGAGATGGAACGTAATTGTGTAGCCGAGTCGGCAACTGACCGACTCGCCACCGAGTACAGTAGGGTCGGGATATATCGCAAGATAGGGTCCCAGGATGTTCGCTACATCTAATTACATGTAATCAATGAGGAAAATAGGGTTCTGTTCTGGAGGCCCAAAAAAGTGACTAAACTTGACTTAACGAGACTCGGGAACAACAGGCTATTTCAATATCAATATTAAGGAACACCTGACTTAGGAACACTAGACTCGGCAGCTGACACACCATCCTGGGAACACCAGACTCGGCAGCAGACGCCACACTGCCACCCTTACTTGACAATCCCACGTCTACATAAACGAACACCAAAAATATTAGTTACAGTATAAAATCTTTTACATTAAGCTTTCCATTATCTTCACTTCACTTTTCACATCACTAGCAACCCATTTACACTCGCTTTTGAAATTGGAATCTGCACCAGACTCGGCAGCTGAAACGCCATCCCGAGAACAACAGACGACACACTGCCACCCTCACTTAACAATCATAAATGAACAAACTATAAATATTAGTTGCAGTATTAAATCATTTCCATTAAGCTTTCCATTATCCCCACTTCACTTTTCACATCACTAGCAACCCATTTACACTTGCCTTAGAAGTCATAATCTGCAGCAGAGCAGGCTTCTTTCTCGTCACTCAGAAAGACTGAGTGGGCGAGCGTGAATGCGTGAGTGCGTAGCCACGGTGGCACCTCTGGTGAGCAAATAACACATTCGTTTGCCATGGCAGTACATTTGAAATATTTACTGCCCGATTTCCCTCGCGAAATAAAAAAATTTATCGCTATACAGTATATAGGAAAATTTTGAAAATTTTGGTAGGCGCGACATAAAAAAATAGTTATATAAAGTCGCGATATATCCCGACCCTACTGTACTCAGAGCGGGTGAGATATGTTATTGTTTAACTCGTAATTTTGGGTAGATACTGTAAATCTAATTTTCTTGTACTCTGTTACATGCACATACATTCATTCATACAGCATGTGCAAACAAAATAAAAAAATCATTGAGACAGGCCTCTGCTTCACAGCAAACATGCTTTGGTGAGTTTCAAACATCAATTACATGAAATAACTTACATTTCATGATTCGTTGTACTCAAATATGTATATATTATTCACCAAGGCAATTTTAAAAGAGTCGGCACTTGACATATGCTATCGGGTAAGCCGGTGGTGGTGGTAGAGGCAGACAGAACGCACGCACGCACGCACGCACACACACACACATGTACACACACGACCTCCACTTGGCTCTCCGCCTCCCACCCTTGCCTTGCTGCTATGCTGTGAATCCTCCTCTACCACTTGCCTGCCCACCCAGAAAATCCCAATTTTGTCGACTTCCCTCCTGAATTTTTTCCAGCGAGTTGAATATTGCTAAACCAAACAATTGCAGATCATTAAATAACCATGGGTGTTAGAAATTTTAAATCGCAAAACTGAATTATGGCTCAGTGAAGGATTGATAAATGGTGCATCCTTGTACATTGTACTGATATACTGTATGTCATTTCACAAATTATGTCACTAGCAAATATATGGAGAAATTTTCAATATACATCAATTGTTTCAGTTTCATTATGTCGTATGCATCATCCATTGTTTTATAGCAAGTCTCTGTGTACCCGAGTATGATGCATAAATAGTGTTAAAAGCACATTATATAATGTTAAAATAACAACAATAATAAGCACTGTAATAAAATTGCCTTACATGTGCTTAGTTTCTAGTAAGCCAAAATACTCCAGTCACCTCTGACATGACTGTGCACTAATGTTATGTGTAAGCAACCACAGAATATTCAGAAAAGCCATTTCAATGTGCTAGTGTACCTTATGAATAAAGAAAATTCTGTACTGTATTCTGTACAGTAATAAATAGATATAATATAAGAAAAATAAAAGTGTAAGGGTATATTGTGTGTGGGAGAATATCGAGTCTAGAAATCACCATAACACACGGGTGCTTGTTTCCTGTGAGAAAGCTGCGTATGTGTCTTTGTTACATAAGAAACCATAAGAGTTGTGGAGATATCATTTCAATGCTCTAATGTGACTTAGAAATAAGGAAAATACACTATAAAATAAGAATATTAAGAGTGGGAAGTCATTTATGTGGGAGATGGGAGGTAGGGTGAGTTGGTGGCTGGACAACTCCACCCTCGAACCCATTAACATGACAATATGACAGTACAGTATGCAATTTCACCATAATCCTCATATAATTTACGCTCATTTGGTACCGGTTAATAAAATATTATTGGAAAATAATAAATTTTCCTGAAAAGAATTCCATGACCAATACCAAATTAGTTACTGCACTTTATTAATATCCCGGTGCTTGTTTACAAAGCCAACCAGCTAACTGTCATCGGTGGCCTCCTTCTAGGCAGTGTTGCCAATGCTCTACTTATCTCATGCATTCCTGCTGCCACTGCTCAAGATGGTTCATGCTTACAACAATAACTGTCTTTATCACTTAGTAAATAATATTGTAGTGTTTTTATCAGCACTTAATAAATAATTTTGTATTGTATATATACATTACTCAGTTGTTTAAGAGTAACACGTAGCCATATTGTGCCACCATGTTGTTAGGAATGTATCTCCATATCAAATACTAAACAGTACAGTACAGTATGTTATAATAACCCCATTGTGAGCTGATTTACTGAACTTTCATGGGCCATTACAGTACATGGTGGAAAGTATATACCTCTAATTACATTAATTATTATTGGGAAAGTTCTCATTACAAAATGTTTCATTACAAGTTGCCTTTCTCTGGAACACATCCCCAATGTATAATGATAATAATCGCGGTGATGTAAACAAGGCAAGTATAAACCACTCAACACAAATAAAATAAACCCAATCGCACCAAATCTGTACAAATGACCTTATAATCTTAACTACGTTTGTTTAGTTCCATGGGTTTGTGTCACTATTATCATATTTAGACTTACTTAGTTGACAAGCCTGTGACACATTTAGTTATACAGCTCATAACATAATCTACAGCATTAGGTGCTCCAGCACACCAATTCTGTCTGCTGTTGAACTGAAAAAAAGCAAACACACAACTGCTCGTAAATGTACATAATTTCTCAACAGTCTTGGGTTTATTTTCAGAAGCCTGTAAATGGTAGCATGATTCTTTCCTGTTCATCTCAATATCTCGCTCACTCACATTTTCTGTCTTTCAGGCTAGAATTCGAGCCTTTTCCTCCTTCGTCAGGTATGTCCCAACCCTCTTGGTGCATAGAAATACAGGGCAAGTAGACAATACACATGAAATTAGGAGGCCAAGTCGTGGATCGATACAATGTACAGTACACTCCCACATACTGTTCAGGGTACACTGAGGGGGGCCAGCTGCTGCCTCATCCTTTACTCACACCACTCTGCATCGTCAGACGTAAGTTCAATGAAATTTGCGATACGTATCGGATAATTTGTGAAAATATTTTGCAACATGTCATTGAGCATAAAAACATGGCCTTGTTGCAAGATTTTTTGGTGAACACTGTATTAATGGCAATACTGTACGACTATTGGGATATCGGAGTGTTGCTGTAATACATCTACTGTAGTGGGATATCAGAGCAATCCACCAATGACACAGAGCAATATTTCACAAGGCTGTACCAGGTATGTCCTCTGGTGCATTGCTTGGTGTTCTAGGATGTAAGGGTTTATAAAAAATTCTAAGAGAAAATTATACCTGTATACTGTCTCTCTTACCTTACCAGTATGTATTCCAACTCTCATATTAACATCTTCCTTGGTGTCAGTGTCAAACTCCTGGATGGCATCAATCATGGCTAATCCCAAGTTGACACAACACTGAGCATGGTCTGGTCTTGGTTCAGGGCAACCACTAACACTATAATAGCAGTCTCCAAGTGTGCTTATCTTTTCACAGTTATTTTTCATGCAAAGAATATCAAACCGACCAAATAAATCATTTAGAAGACCCACAAGCTGCTCTGCTGTCTGCAAGAGGAGAGATAATTGTAGTTAGAAACAAGTGCTACATTATACTGTATATACAGTACTTGCTAAAAGCTACCATAATTTTTAAAATGATTACATTCCAATATTAAAAAACTGTCTTCTGAAAGACAACCAAGAATGTCACAGTCCTTATATAACTTAGGCATACAAATGAAAAATTTCTGTTGTAGTTCTGCAAATATGTAAAATAATTTTTTTTTTTTATTTAGGATGAAACCAAGAGCCTGCAACAATTGTACAAATTGATTCCAGTCAAGATATATAAGGTATCTTAGGTTAACCCTGTTTGGCTTCTTTAACTATGGTCACAAAAAAGAACTAATCTGAGAATTTTTCAAATATTAAATATTTGTACAGTCTAGTTCAGGATTCTTCGAACACTGCTGGAGACAGCTGGCAACTGCTTGTTTAATATACTGTAGTACGTAGTATAATATAATACAAAAAAACAAAGCCCAACCATTAAATTAAGCAACGGGGAACTAAGTAACCAATTACCGATCACTTTTACATTTATTTATAATTTTTACGGCTTACTCTAGTAAACAATTGGCCTTGAGTTGCCAGCTGTCTCCAGCAGTGTACGAAGAATCTTGAATGAGACTGTACAGTACTATAGTGATAATGAGAATTACTATCTAAACATTCATGAAGAAACCCAAATCACCTTACTTTATTAGAACTCATCCGTGTAAAGCCAACAATGTCTGCAAAGAGAATGCTGACATTGTCCATTCCATGCATGTTAAATGGTCTGAAGAGTGTCTGGATGTCACTTGTATGAGATGGACGTGGTGATGAAACCTACAGTAAGAAGAATTATACATTATACATAATATACTGCATTGATATACAAATACCTGTAATGACAAAATTTTTACCATATGAGCAAAATCAATGAGAAAAAAGACCATTAATATGAAGAGAATTAAAATAATGGCCGATTAGTTCTTTGAGGCTGTTACCGTAATAACAAAATACATATATCATAAAATAGGGAAAATCTGAATGTTACAAACCATTCATCCCTTTCCCTTCATATGATACATACAGTAAACCCCCATAACTCAGCATTTGATAATTTGGAATTTCATATAACTCGGCATGGATATGGTCTCGGAATGTATTATAGTATAACTTGGAAAATGCCCAGACATATAAAATTATCTGGGAAAATCTTGGCATATCTGGCCACCTGCATCACCTACCATGCCTCTGTGTTGTCACCTACCATATCTCTGACACCTACCATGCATCAGTGTCACCTACTATTCTGTTTCATTTTTTGCCTGCAGTGCTGGTATTATTTTTTTTTACATTTAGTAATTACATGTACACATATACTGTACACCCAGTCCACACTTAACGTTATCCTAGACAACATTGTTTCATTATAACGTTGCTACTCTTTAGATACCCATGATTCCTACAGCGTTGTTTTGACCCGACCGATTCGTTATAACATTAACGTTGTCACCCAACACGGACTACTTTGTATGGCGCACCACCCTTTCTCATCTTGGCGCGCTACGCTTTCTCGTGGAGCGTCACAGCGTCCCCAAGCCTTTTCTCCCCAGTCTTTGTTAAGCTTCCACAGATTATGTGCGTGCTTAAGTGTTTTTGCTATAAATACTGTACAGGTTGACAATCCCTTATCCGAAATCCGTGAGGCCAGATGTGTTTTGGAATTTGGAGTTTTTTGGATTTCAGAATGGTTAGGTTGGTTTTTTTTTTCTTCAGGAATCAGCACACCTGGGCACAGGTCACCGACCCACATTGGGGCCTGGGGGCGAAAATGGAATAATAATAATTTTTTGAATGGTCTGAAAAATGGCAGATGAAATTCAATTCAATTCAATATACAGTGAGTTCTGCTATAACGCGTGCTTTGACAATGCGAATCGGCTCTAATGCGATTTATGAATAGAAGAACGATATTTGCATAACGCGAACGCTTGTTTGCTGTAACGCGATTTTTGCTTACTATTTCTCCAATTTTGTGGTATTAACTGTGAATATGGTAAAGAAGAATATCTCCAAGAAGCGTTCTGGTGATCGCATTCCCGGTGATGATCGTCAAAGAAAGGCTATAACCCTTGAAGAGAAGCTCGATGCTATCAACCTCAAAATCACCCTTCTCCCCCATCAAGTTATATTCATATTTTTTCAAGGTAAAGTGTTACATTTACTGTATGATTTCATTATTAGATATGAATGTAACATTTATTTAGACTGTGCTAACCTTTGTGTTAGGCTAACTACTAAATTTTTTTCGATTTCGAGTAGTAATCTGCACCTAACCCTATTTTCTCCATAAGCCCTGTTATTTCTATAACGCGAATTTCTATAACACGATGCTTTACAAGAACACAACTATCGCGTTATAGCAGAACTGACTGTACAGTATATACAGCCTGGATTCACTCAGGGCAAAAAACGTTTATCCAAGCCCTTAAATATTTGTTATTTGACATTCCCGTTACATAGGGTCATTTGAAAATGACACCAACAAGCAATCCCTTGGTCTCTTTCCTCCTTCGGACCCTTGAGTGAACAGTTAATTTCCCCCCTCTTAGAATGGACTCACCCATAAGGCTGCACTAGATTGGGTAGCTTAAGTTCTACACACTTTCAGCTACAGAAAAATGATAAGATTCAAACAATGGTGATGGTAATCTTCCGAGGAACAGAAGACAAACACGTATTACACCAGTACCTCAAAATATGTGAGTTCAACTCTCGCAAATTCAACTACCCGCAAAGCAAACCTCAGAGGCTTTTATCAAATAAAATAACCTAAAATGGTAAGGTGCTTATTTTAAAAACGGAAGGCGTCCGCCATGATGTGACGTTATGCTGCATCCTGCATTGATGTTTTCCCCCGCCAGTCTCTTTTACTTTTATCCTCTTCACCACTGATCGGCTCGTTAGTCACTTGGGCGATCAATCACGTCTCTGTTACGCACTGTTGGCAAGTACTGGGCATGCACTGGCTCCTGAATGTATGTAAACCTGCTCCAGTGTTTGTCAAGTCTAGTCTTGAAAAGAGTTCATACTCAGTGCTGTCACAACACACACTGGCAGGCTGTTCCACAAATTCACAACTGTCACTCCGAAAAAGTTACCCCTCACAGTTTTCTGGACAGGTGGCTTCTTCAACTGAGTAGTGCCCTTTGAGATGTTTATACACCTCAATTAGGTCCCCCTTGCCCGTCTGTAGTATAAACTAGGCAATTGCAGGTGCTCTTATCTCTCTGGGTAGCTGAGGTACCGAAGTGCAGGCACCAGTCTGGTGGCCCTCCTTTGGACATTTTTAATCAACCGACAGTCACCTAGCATATCTCAGCGACCAGGCGGGGTGACAGTACTCCAGGCGGGGAAGCACCTCACTCTTGAAGATCGTTATGAGGGACGGACTGTCTAGATATCTGAACGACCTTCTTATAAGACCTAATAATTTATTTGCTTGATTCACCTTCTCACAATGGCCCGAGAACTTCAGCTCATTGTCAACATACACACCTAGGTCCTTTTTGCATTGTCTCAATTAATGCAGTTCCTTCATCCCGTTGGGACATATGATACGTCTTCTTACCGTTGGTACATCCCAGGTGCATCCTCTTACACTTCGTGACATTGAATCTTAGCTGCCATTTCTTCGACCATTCTTGAAGCTCACAGAGATCTTTCTGCAGCTCTTCACTGTCTGCTTGGTTCTTAATTTCCCTAAATAACTTGGCATCATCTGCAAACATTTGTATGAGGGAATGTATAGCTTCTGGCACGTCATTTATGAAGCAAACAAACAACAGCGGGCCCATTACACTGCCCTGTGGTACCCCGCTTGTCACGGGTACACATGACGATTCGTGCAATCAGTCTCGTCTGAGAGTTCTCCTGCATCGCCCACACGTCTCGTTTGAGAGTAATTCTAACGTTAATTATAACCAAGTCATGAATCCCAAAAGGTCATCAACTGGTGGTATTGCATCTGGTGCAAAGAGAGTGAAGAAAGTCATGACTCTGACACAAAAATTGAAAAGTTAAATAAACTTGATAGCGGCATGAGCGCATCAGCAGTTAGCCGTTTGCTTGAATTAATGAGTTAATTGTTAGTTCCATAAAGATGAAAGTCAAGGAAATTAGACATAGTGTTGCTCATAGTGCACCACACAGTGCTAAAGTTACACATCAGATACGTGATAGAGGTATGGAGAAAATGGAAAAGGTGTTAAGTGTATGGATTAAAGACACGAGTCAGGTGTGCCAAAAATTTAACAGATATGATTTACGACTATGACCCATCAATGGAATTAAGCATCAAAATGAAGCAAAGTATCAAGAATGTTTTACAACTTTATCAAGAAATTTATAAAGAACTATAAAAGAAAGCCAAACAATTGCCAATAACAATGATTTTAACGGCAAGATCCACCCCCTCCTCGACTCCCGTATCTCTCCTCACCAACCAGCCCGGCGTCGTCTGCATCACCCCTGCCACACTCACAACCTGCCTCTCCTCTTCACTCCACCGATGTGGCTTCCTCACCTGCCAGCCCTTCATCAGACATTCTGAATAATCCCAGTCCAGAGGTCTTAACAAAAGAGCAGCAGTAATATCTTCAGTATCATTACCGAGGCCTCTACAGCAGCCATTATGAACGAAAAGTACACTTTATATACATAAGTAACACTGCTAATTATTTTGCTCTCATAATGTTGATATTACACTTATGAATGGGATAAATTATATACAGGAAATCCTCCAATAACGATGGTTCTACTATCGACGATTTATATTTAAAACCCTGGTTAATTTAGGACCCAATTCAATTTACACCGTTATTTATGACGAAAATAGAATAAAAAATAAGATAAAATTACATTTTCATATAAATAATAACTAAATCCCAATATGTATTACTCTCTCCATCACTAGTATAAACAGTTGCAGCTTGGTGAGCATTTTGTTTTCACTATCTGAACAGGAGAAAACTTTCTCAGGTTTCTTATGGCACTTTTGTGCCCCTATTCAACATGAGCAAGAATGTAAGTGATGGTTCAAAAGCTAAAAGAAAGTGTATAAGCTTAGCCGAGAAACTAGATGTGTTAAAATGATATGAAAAAGGTGAGAGGTCTGTGGATTTCCACACGCTTTGGGGATGACGGAATCAACAGCGAAAACTATCTGTAAGAATGAAAAAAAAAATTCAGAATGTGCTCAGTTAATGAAGAGAATGTTCAGGAGGTATTAAACAGTCACGGAGATGACCTGACAAGTGAAGAACTGATGCAACTTGAACAAGAGCATGATTAGAACACAAACACACCAACAGATTCCCTCTACCTCACATTCTCACAAATTTACAACTAAGCCTTTGGCAGAAGCATTTACTTACATGGAGCAAGCAATGAACATATTTTCTGAAATGGGTCCATTAACAGAAAGAAGTTTCAAAATTAACGGGGACGTGAAAAACACACATGACCTCTACATACTGTAAAGATGTATAATGAGAAAAAGAAAGCAACTGTGCGAGGTTCTTTACAGTTTTATTATTTGAAGGCCTAACCTTCAACTTCAGGTACAGCTACACCATCAACTACAGCTACACCATCAACTTCAACTTCAGGTTCAGCTACACCATCAAATTCAGCAGCAGCTTCAGCAACAACTACAGGTTCAGCAACAGCTATGGCATCTTTATGGAAAGTTACAGCTTCAGCCAGAGTTGAACCTACAGCTTCAGATGGAGAACCTGATGACTAAGGAACTTCATCATCAGAGTAAAATCTCACACAAAAATATTGGCTGTCCTTATGTTTTTGACTATACCACCATTGGTGAGTAGAAATTTTGTTTTACATTCATAAGCATTAATTAAAACATATATGAACAGTCGTAAGTGTTGCTTTCATATTCTTATGTAGAGAAATGACGCTATGTTTTCACTTACATACATTGGCGTTGCACAATCCATTTCACTTTTTTCTTTACTATTAGTGGTTAGCTACTTATATTGTTCCATTTATTTACATTAAATAACATTAATAAAAACATACAGTACATACTCTTTTTTTACATAAATTTTACTACAGCTACAGCCACGGTCTTTTTTTTCTTCAGTTTCATATGTAAAACCACTGTCATGGATGTAAACACTAACAAAAACAATGCTGTCTCACCTCCTCTTGTGTGTTCTAATATTCTATGTATTATTAATGAATTGTATTGTCATTTTGCACACAAACGTCAATTCAATAAAATAGACATTCTTTACCATTAGTGCTTACTTCTACTGTACATACATTAAAAACATTCACTAAAAGATACATATTTTTCTTAACATTAATTTTACTACAGCTACAACCAAGGTCTAATTTTCTTCAGTTTCATATGTAGAACCATCGTCATGGGTTTAAACACTGACAACAACAATGGCGTCCCATCTCATCTTGTGTGACTTCATATATTATTGATATACATTGTATAAGGTGCATTAATAAGCATTAATTAAATAATATAGTTTTTATTTTTCAAAAATTTTCTTTTTTGGGGGAAAAGAGGGTAAAAAGCCACACAACATACACGAAAAGGTCACAGAAGGGAACGCATCTTATTATTATTGCTTTATTTTAATGGTAATTGATGATTCACAATACGATGATTCACCTTAAACCGCAATATTGGAGGACACATTACCGTCATTATTCGAGGCTTTACCGTACTGTACTGTACCTGTATTTTTCCCAGTCATAAGTTTGTTACAGGAAAACCTAATATCCAGTATGTATGCATGCTTCAATTACAGTGTTGCATGTCAGGTGTACATTCATGTGTGTGAGTGTTGATGGCGAAGTGGTGGTGGTATGGCACGGGCCGTGTGAGGAAGGCAGCAGACGATGCGTCACAGCTACCGCAATCCAGTTGACTTCTCTAACATCGCACCACATTTACTTGCTTCTCATTTAATTTATATATGATTAACACATAATACAACTGTATAAAGAAACCACGCACGCACACACACGGACCAGTCCATCAGTTTTCTTCTATTTTGAAGTAAAAAACAAATTAGATATTGTATTTTTTCTATTATTAAATACAGTATTTATATTAATAATGATGAAACATACACTGTAAGAGGCTGATCATGATAATATAATGAATAAAAAAATGTGAACTGTCATTATACTGTACCATTGCATATATGGAGATACGTTCTTGATGACCTATGTGAAGGGTACAGGTATGTACAGTATTAATAAAGACAGATTATTAGATTAACATATCTTTACTAATTAATGAATAACAAATAAGCAATATTGTATCATGAATGTCAATCATTTCATGAACGAGTGTAAGACAGTGCAAGGGTGGGAGGGAGGCAGGAGGCAATGAATATCATACTGTTCTACTCTGGTTGAAGCTAATGCATCTCTGCATTACTGAAATTATGATTTTGGTGGTGATAAAAGAGGTAGTGGTGCTAATGGTGTAAGGGATATTGTGGTAAGTGATGAGGTGATGCAGCTATCAGTTTCTTTTGTAACACTGTGCCTACAGCACTGCCAGACGCTAATGAACAAATGATAACTATCCACAAAATTAAGTGTAATTACAATATCAATGAGCAACGTTTTGTACCCCCTTCAACATAAAGATACGTAACATTTTAAAATATGGAGTGAGAAATGAGAAAGGTGTGGGTCATTAGAGAGATGGAGTGGAAAGGAGTGTTGCCAAGTGCTCCTCAACATGCAGTCATGGACTTCTACATCAGTTAACCACACACAAATTTATGTCATACAATAAGACACAGCAACATATCACAAAAGTAGTCGTCACCCTCACTCTGGATGCGTTGCTCTGTTAATTCCCATGTTAGGGATCTGTGAGTGGTGTCGGAGGGTGTGTGTGTGTGTGATGTTAGGGAGTATGGGTGGTGTTGGGGGTGTGTGGGTGGTGTTGGGTGGTGTTGGGGGGTGTGGGTGGTGTTGGGGGTGTGTGGGGGTGTGGGTGGTGGGGTGTGTGTGGTGGTGTTGGGGATGTGTGGGTGGGTGGGTGGTGGGGCTGGGTGGGTGAGGGAGTGTGTGGTGGTGATGTGTGTGGGTGGTGCTGGGGGTGTATGGGTGGTGGTGGGGGCGTGGGCGATGCTGGGGCGTGTGGGCGATGCTACGCTGGGGACGTGTGGGTGGTGCTGGGGGCGTGTGGGGGGTGGAGGTGGTGTTGGGGGTGTGTGGGGAGGTGTTGGGGTGTGTGGGAGTGTGTTGGGGTGTTGGGGTGTTGGGGGTGGGTGGTGTTGGGGGTGTGCGGTGTGGTGTGTGTGTGTGTGTGTGTGTGTGTGGTGTTGGGTGTGTGGGTGGCGTTGGGGGTGTGTGGGTGGTGTTGGGGGTGTGTGGGTGGTGTTGGGGTGTGGATGGGTGTGTTGGGGTAGTGTTGGGGTGGAGTGTGTGTGTGTGTGTGTGTGTGTGTGTGTGTGTGTGTGTGTGTGTGTGTGTGTGTGTGTGTGTGTGTGTGTGTGTGTGTGTTGTGTGGGTGGTGTTGTGTGTGTGTGTGTGTGTGTGTGGGGTGTGTGTGGGGTGTGTGTTGGGGGTGTGTGTGTGGGTGGTGTTGGGGTGTGTGTGGTGTGTGTGGTGTGGTGTGTTGTGGGTGGGGGTGTGGTGGGGGTGTGTGTGTGTGGGTGTGTGGGGGTGTGTGGGTGGTGTTGGGGTGTGGGTGGGTGTGTGTGGGTGTGTGGGTGGTGTTGGTGTGTGGGGGTGGGGTGTGTGGGTGGTGTGGGTGGTGTTGGGGGTGTGTGGGTGGTGTTGGGGGTGTGTGGGTGGTGTTGGGGGTGTGTGGGTGGTGTTGGGGGTGTGTGGGTGGTGTTGGGGGTGTGGGTGGCTGCTTAGTGCACAGTGGCACCCACAACACCCCCCCCCCTTCACACACACACACACACATACATAAAAAGGGTAAAAATACAGACAATCAAATCCAAACCACTTTTCCCCAAAAAAATTTCGAACTTTTTAGGGTTTACTGTACCTTCCTAACAATGTCATTTATTACCTTTGAGTGATACATGATGGCTCAATTTGGCTACTTGTACACTTAGACAACTGACTAATGATTAAACGAGGGGATATGCAGATGCATAATATCATGTACACAACAATATTACTTATGAAGTGCTGATAAATACACTACAATGGTATTTATTAAGAGATGATAAATACATTACTGAACTAAATTAGTAAGTGCTGAATTGCTGAAGACAGATGTTGTGGTTAGCATGAGTGGTGATGGAGCTAGGCCGATCGGCTGTTTGCTCTTTGTAAACAAACAACTCATGGTGTTGAGTGTCGGATTATTTTTTCGGGAAAGTTGATTACAGTATTTTATGATAAAATTTTATCAACCTGGCACCAAATGAACCCAAATGATTTGAGAATTATGTTGAAAGTGAATAAATACAGGTTAAAGGGATCTTGGGGGAGAGAGCCACCCACCTACACTAATCCCCCTCTGCCTGCTGCTCCCAGATACAATCTCATCTCCCACACAAAATACATCCCTACACTCTTAATTTTATCCTTAGAGTACTATACAGTTTAAAACTTTCTCTTTATTCATAGAGCAAATTCTGTAGTTACATATAACACTTTACAGTACTGTACATAACAATCATCTCAGTTAAAACAGTTGTCAACAACCAGACTTAAGTCTGATTTTCAAGTCAAGGAGTTCTGTCATATTTTTTATTGTTGATGTAATAGTGTTGAAGAGCAGTAATAACATTGTAACAACAAATAATTTTTTTTTTAAATAAATCATTGCACGTACGCATGATCCATGTATATGCTGATAACCAGAAAAGAAAAAAAAGAAAATACGAAGTTCCCAAGTGCTTTCGTGTAATTCACATCTTCACAGGTGAGTAAAGTTTGAATTCACCCCTGAAAATGTGAATTACACAAAAGTGTTTGGGAACTTTGCGATTTTTTTTCTTACACACACACACCTGCAGTTGCACACAAACACACACACATGATGTCTCCAATAGCCAGAACAATTGGTGCAGAACACTTCCAGGAATGAGAGATTCCGGGTAACGAGAGGAGTCTCAAGCCGGGAAAAAATCCCCCATCCCCAGAAATTTCCGGGTACAGGGCCCCCCCCCCCAAATTCGCGTATTTTTATTTCGCGGTCCTCTATTATTCACGGATGACACCCTGGGTGTACCCAAGAATGTCTGTGGGTAGTTTTAAAATTGCCGGCATTTTTGCGGCTGGGACAGGGAGCCATTCATTCTAGAGACAGTAATTTCCTTTGCCTGTACACCCACCTCTCGTTTTATGTGGGGGTTACGTTCTTGAAAATCACAGCATAATAAAAAACAAATTAAAAAAAAAAACCATAAAAATGCCTGTAAATGGTACAGGTTAGGAAAAAAATCATATAACTGTCACATTAAATATGCTTTTACCTTACTCATTAATAAAGGAAAAACAATAGGATATACATCTCAAAAAACACTTACATTGACAACTGGCAACTTCTGCTTGCCCAAGGGGGCGTAGGGGAGGGTTGAGGAGGGAGGCTGCGGAGGCGAGAGTATGGGTGAGTCGGTGGTTGAGGGCAGGCAAGGGCAGAGGAGGGTAAATTATATTCTGACCGGGTAATTTGTATGAATTTTATGAGCTAAAACAAATATCTTCAGTTAATAAAAAAAAAAAAATATTCTTCACACGGTAACAGATGGTCGGTCGGTCCCTCCCTCCCCCTACCCCCCACCAACCCTCCCTACCAGATGTGTGGGAAAACCAGAATATTTACCTTTTTAGTAATAAATAATACCTCAAACTAAAGTTAGGATAATATAATTGACATTGCTGGATTCCTTGTAAGACCAGGAATATTTTGAATACAAATGTCATATATTTTGCACAAAAAATAACATATTTACTCAGAGTAAACATTACAGTAAAATTCCAAAAATCCGGACCACCCGAGAATCGAACTTTTCGAAAACTATTTTTTTTTTTTTTTTAGCGGGCTTTTGTGTGTATGTGCGCATGCGTGAGCGCTACAGCTGCACAGCAACAACAAGCGACCTCGTGGTCGCCACTTTAAAACGAGCAATCAAACTGTGACAACATACCGTATATACTCGTCTATAACCCTCCCTCGTTTATAGGTCGACCCTGATTTTTTGACCAAGAAATCGTTAATTCATGATATTCCTCGTTTATAGTTCGACCCACGTTTTTGAGGGTAATGGAACAACAAAACCTTCAGTAAAAACACTACGTCCTATAAACTGAGGCTCGCCGTGCCTGAAACACGAGTGCCAAAGGCAAATTGTTTACCATTTATTATTACGACACTTTACACTGAAACGCGGGTAGTTTCAACAGAAATATTGTATATTTCCATTCAAATATTTATTCAAGTCAATTAGGAGGGAATATTATTGTAATACAGTTTCTTAACTAAACCATTCGAAAAGCGATTACGGTAACATCTTTTGAACTAAAGAAAGTGAAAGTTATTGTTTTCGTCACGATTTGATCCCACTTTCCACTGTAATACGTACGTAATTTCAGCAAAAATATTACATTTCCGTGAATGTATTATATCAAGCACAGTATGAATAGAATATCATTGTAATATAACAGAATTTTAACCGAAAACTATTAAAAAAACGAGTAACATCTCAAAAACATCGGAAGCTTAGGTAAAGTCTTGTTTTCTTCATGTATTTTATCCTATTTTACATTGAAATACATCACGTTTCAGCAAAACTACTATTTATTTCCGAGAATATATTCATTCAGGCGCAGTTTAGGTAAAATATACGTGTGATGTAATAATTTTTTAACTGAAAACGATTCGAAAAACACGTACCCTCTAGCCCTGTTCAAGGAGAGGACTGGGAGAAGCTGTTTGGTGCTGCAGACGATGAAAAGGAAAATGATTTTGATGGATTTTAATGAAAATATTCAGAAATATGGTATCGTAGTATTTATTCAAGTCAATTAGGATAGAATATTATTGTAATACAACAGTTTTTTAACTGAAAACCATACGAAAAGCGATTACGGTAACATCTTTTGAACGAAAGAAAGCGAAAGTCATTGTTTTCGTCACAATTTTTTCCCACTTTCCACTGTAATACGTACGTCATTTTAGCAAAAATATTACATTTCCGTGAATGCATTATATCAACCACAGTATGAATAGAATACCATTATAATATAACAATATTTTGAGTCCTACTCTTTCCATTTACAGAGTACTATACAAGCCCATAATAATGGCTCCTAAAGTAGATAAACTTCGTTGTGTGAAGAGAAAGAACACGTTGAAATTGAGTGACAAACTTGAAATAATTAAGAAACTAGAACGTGGTGTGAGCAAAACTGTTCTAATGGAAACATACGACATTGGAAAGTATACAATTTATGATATAAAAATGGCAAAGAATAAAATTCTAGAATTCACAGCTTTTTCATTAAAACTGCTCGTTTTGATAAATGAAGCATGCTATATTTGCTAATGAATAAACTATCAAAATGTACCTGTTCATCTCTTCTTTATTCCTCCTTAAATTTGAATTTTAAAAGTACTGCCTGAGAATCCGGAAAATCCGAAAATCCGGACCAACCCAATCCCCAAGCAGTCCGGATTTTTGGACTTCTACTGTATATCTAAAATTTGTATGTCTAATGCAAAATCTATGATGTTTATATTCAAAATGATCATCATATTGTAAGAATTCCAGCAATGTAAATTATATTCTGGCCGGGTAATTTGTATGAATTTTATGAGCTAAAACAGGCAGGCAGGCAGGCAGTCAGGCAGGGTGGCGGGTGGGGCGAATCTAAAAATCGGACTCTCTGCGCGTATACGTGGAAAAAACCTGCATTAAGTGAAAGTTCTGCTCTGGCGAGGCACCACGTATAAGTGAAATCGCGCTAAGCGAAACCGTGTTAAGCGGGGTATTACTGTATATGTATATATATGTATATGTATATATACAGTGGGGTATGCTATAACGAATCTAATTGGTTCTAGAACCTTGTTCGTTATAGCATTTGTTCGTTATAGGATTAATCCGTTCCAGGCCCCCAAATACAACCACTTAACACTGAAAAATATAATATAAAATTGTAAAAATTTTAAAAAAGTGCATAAAGATGCATCTAAACCCCTGAAATAAAGAATATCATTAATATTTGTAATAAAAAAACAATAAATTAGAAAAAAAAAAAAATTAAATAATGTTCGTTGTAGGAGTTTCGTTCGTTATAGCATTCTCAATTTTATAGGTAAAACCGTTCGTTATAGGAATATTCGTAGTAGGATCCGTTCGTTATAGCATACCCCACTGTATGTATATATATATATATATATATATATATATATATATATATATATATATATATATATATATATATATATATATATATATATATATATATATATATATATATATATATATATATATATAAAGCAAAAATATGCCTTGCGCACAAATGCTGCTGGGCTGGTGAGTGGTGATGCCAGCATCACTAACATTAACAGTTGCACCTAAGAAGGCATTTTGTTTTCACGTATCTGAACATGAGAAAAACTTTCTCAGCTATCTTACGGCATTTTTGTGCCCCTATTCAACACGAGAAAGAGAGCAAGTGATGGTTTCAAAGCTAAAAGAAAGTGTGTAATCTTAGCTGAGAAACTAGATGTGTTAAAACGATATGAAGAAAGTGAAAGATCTGTGGATATTTCACGCGCTTTGGGGGTGGCGGAATCAACAGTGAAAAACTATCTGTAAGAATGAAGAAAATATTTAAGAATGTGCTCAATTGATGAAGAGAGTGTTCAGGAGCTATTAAACAGTCACAGAGATGACCTGACAAATGAAGAACTGATGCAACTTGAACAAGAGCATGATTAGAACACAAACACACCAACAGATTACCCCAACCTCACCATCATTGGTGAGTAGAATTTTGGTTTTACATTCATAAGCATGAACAGTATTAGGTGTTGCTTTCATATTCCTACGTAGAGAAATGCTGCTATGTTTTCACGTGTGCGTATGTACATCGATGGCCTTGAGCAATCCATCTCACTTTTTTCTTTACCATCAGTGGTTACTTATAATGTACATTAAATAACATTAATTAAAAAATACCTATTCTCTTTTTTTTACATTAATTTTATTACAGTACAGCTACAACCAGGGTCTTATTTTCTTCAGTTTCCTTAGGAGAACCATCATCATGCGTGTAAACACTAACTAAAACAATGCTGTCTCATCTACTCTTGTGTGTTTTAATATTCTATGTATTATTAATGAATTGTATTGTTCATTTCACATACATAAACGTGAATTCAATCAAATAGATATTCAGTAAAAAACAAGAATGAATCTTTTGTATATATTCTTAATAAGATAAATGACAATATGTTTCCAAGAGTGCGTACGGACATACGTTGGCTTTCCGCTATCAGTCTCACACTTTTTTATCTTTACCATCAATGGTTACTTCTACTGTACATTACATAACATTAATTAAAACATACATTTTTTTTAACATTAATTTTACTACAGCAACAACCTGGGTCATATTTTCTGCAGTTTCAGATGGAAAACTGTCTTCATGGTTGTAAACACTGACAATTACAATGGTGTCCCATCTCCTCTTGTGTGACCATATTTTTTCTAATTTATATTGTATAAGGTGCATTCATAAACATTAATTAAAGAATATAGTTTTAATTTTTCACTAATTTTATTGTTTTGGGGGAAAAGACGGGTAAAAAGCCACATAAAAGATATGAAAACGTCACAATAGAGAATGCATCTCATTATCATTGCTTTATTTTGGCATGAAGAAAAAGACCAGGAATGCCTTGGAAGCAGCTTTTAACATGCTACATTTTAACATCAACATCAAATCAGGGTGGGTTACCTGGTTGCACACCAAGGCCCAGATGGCACCATGTGATTGGCAGAGAGAAGGAACAACAGGGACACCAAATGACCAATGCAGAGATGTGACATAGCTCAGCCCACCACCGCAATATTAATTCTTGTATAAAGAGCAGTAACCCATATTGTGTGACATTCCTTTGAAAATGTCTTGTGTTGAAATATCAGAAATAAAATTCCATCTCTTAGTCATGCTTCCTTCACTACCATACGACCAAATGTAACTTAGATATCTATGCCCCACTGAACTATGAACTTAAGTTGTATAAAGTCTAAGTTGGTTGAACTTAAACATTAAAGCAGTAGACTAGACTTTTGTACCGGTGTCATCATCAAAAGAATGTGTGCTGGTGGAAGAAATGGTGAGATCATTAATAAAGAGTAAGGATTAAGCATTGAGGCACCCCAGCACTAATACGAAAGTAGCAAGTGTGTGAACCATCCATAACTATACATGTATAGATGATGTAGAGTCAGGAGAAGATCCAGTAATTTAAAGAATCTGGGAAACCAAAAGATGAAGTTTGGTAAGGATAGTTTGATATCGTACCTTCCTGTGGGACTTGGATGGATAATTAAGGATGATTATCAGCTGCAGCTGGGTTCTTTCTTTTTTAATTAACTAACATCTTGATTTGTGGATGAAAGGAGGGATAATGAAAAGTTCACTAAACTGAGGGGTGAAAATTGGCATAATACCAGGAGTAGGTACAATGAAGTGCAAAAATATTTATGATAAAATTAGTAACAGACAGTCAAAGAAGCACATCATTTTGCTTTATGAAATGCCATATTACTATTTAAAACAATAAATCAAATATGAAAAATGAAAAGCAAAATATTTCTTTGAGGGGCACTGCTCACTTAAGGGAATCAGCTTCCCTCTCACATACAAATAAAACAAAAGAGCTTGATTGTCATTAATAAAATTTACCTTTCTCAAAATGGCACCATCTTCTCCATAATAGTTGGAGTCTTCATTGTCATCTGCCTGAGTTTCTTTCATGAGCCAATCAGCAACTTTAGGTGGCATGACAGAGAGGATCATTTTCTCCTTTAGTGCCCTCTCAAGCTCTAACTGGCGTCGTACTAGAAGGGACCGTCCAATGCTCATGAAGGTACCACGCATCCGCACCTTAAAAAAAAAAGTGCCTTTAGGGCTCACAACCTCTAGTGTGTCTCTCTACTTCCCAAGGCCTTGTATTCAATTCAATCAAGAGAAAATGTTGCAAATGTGTTCCAATTTAAAGGGATTGTCCCTCTGCGAACAATCCAAAAATTATGAAAAATTGGATTTGCTGAAAAAATTCCTCTGAACTCTGGCAACCTTTAATTACATCACTGCCAAGTATGAACAATGTATGATAACATCTTCTATCCCCCCAGAAAAAAAACAATCGTATAAGACCCCTTACCTCCCTTACCACGTAGCCGGTTTTAGGAGATTCTCGTTTTCTGTTGCCATCAAAATAAGAGTAGAATCCCAGTTATCCGGCATCTAAAGGGATTGAGAGTTGCCGGATAAAGAGTTTTTCCGGTTACTTGAAACTCACTCTTAGGGTCCCCCAATAAATCCTACAAAGCACAGTGCTACAGGCTGACCTTATAAATTTGTGTCTCAGAAAAACGGACTTCTTTAACGTTTATTCCACTCTCTATAAATGATGTGGCTTAGTAATAAATAAAATATAATATATAACTAAAAAATAAGAAAAATGAAGAGCATGGGTGTATTTGTGTGGAAACTGGCCATATATGGAGGCTGTGGGTTATAACTGCATCGCTGACTCGCCAGTCCAGCCACCGTGTTTATTATTACATGTAATGAAAAAATAAAAGTTGTGGAAAAATCATTACAATACCCTAATGTTCCTTAATAATAAAGAAAATATAATATAAAACTATAAAATAAGAAAAATTAAGAGCATCGGTGTGTATATGAGGGAAGTGAATGAGAGTTGAGGTGGTGGGTTACTGGGCTATAACTGTGTAGCCATGCTCCCTCCCAGTGTGCAGTCACGGCATACACACAGCCAGAGCAGCAGCAACACATCTGTTAGTCAGTTGGGTGACTGTCTGGCTGAACTGTGCCCCCTATCCCAAAGGATAGCTCGAGTTTGTATATAAAATATGTGCTATTGTATTTCATGATAAACTAAGTATGAATTATATTTTTTATCACAGCAATAAATATCACAGCACATCCCCACTGCGCACGGTATTCAAACTTACGATTCTAGCTAATTTGGGAGTTATTTTATTTATTAATATTACTGTATTTCATGTTTGTGCATGTTAGTTGAATCTTCTGGTTGCCCGGATACCATATAACTAGGATTCTACTTTATTATGAGCAAATGATGTATAGAGTAGATCTATGTTGCGTAGCTCATGTACCTCCCCCTCCCTTGCCCAAGTATTTACACAGTTTCTTCAGTAATTTTTAGACCACATCTTATTTGTTGTTCTCCCTTGTGTTTGCTACCACCAGTACTTCCCTTATGACACTTTGAAGAAAGATGCTTCTCGCCCGACACCACGTAAACAGAAATTTAGACAAAATTCAGAGTATGAACCTGCATTATTCTAATGAATTTTACAAATCTGGGTAATGCTAATGAGTTCTAAACCTGGAAACGAAAATAATGGTGGTGCCTTTTGACACCCTTGCTCTCTGGCAAGTAATATTGCGCAAAATCAGGAAAGCACCAGGAGCCAAGAACTTGTAAATCTTTGAAGGCACATTACTCAAAACAAACATTTTGGACATAAAATTGAAAGTAACTCCAAAAGTTCTTGGTTGATTTTCAATTTTCAAACAGTATGAGATTCAACAATAATATGAGAATATTACCTACGAGAAAGAATGTGCACCTCTAAAAATTACTACAGTACAGTACGAGTATATCTAATTACATGGAAATGCCAAAAAGTTTTGGAGAATTTTTTGGGTTATTTTAGGTGGGGTTTTTTCTTCTCATCTTTGAATGGGCATACAGTAATTGTTTGGTTCTAGTATGGAAGTATCATCAGTCCGTACTCTTTATATCATTAAAAGCACAAATAATTTATATAAAAAGTGTTTGCTGTATTTTGATAAGAAAATAAATAAAAACACAAAAATATTAATAAAAAATATCACCTAAATTTAAAATCTTAATGGCATACTGTTGAATTGATCTTAAATAATGTGTTAAAATTTAATAAATTCATCCATAAGTAAAAAAAAAGGGAGGGGGGGGTGTGGGGGTTCCAGCAGGATGATCCCCTTAAGGCAAATGATGGCTGAGACAATGTTAGGTATGTCAAAAGACAACACACAATAGACATGACTAACATTACATATCCTGGATACATTCCCATTTTCACTGAAAACCAGTTCCCTCTTCCCAACACATCCTTAAACCATACTTTACTCTCCCTATAATTTTTTTTTTTTACAGTATTAAGAAATTCCTACTTATTGTACACTGCAAAGGTAAACCTCTATTTTCGATGTCCCCATCTATTATAATTTGCGTTAATGATGCCGATATATTAAGACCACTTTCCTTATTTGCGATGTAAACAAACTCTCATTAAAGATATTCGTCATCCAGCCAATTCACCAAGTCGCCATATGGAAAGCAACATTCACTTCATTTGTCAGCGGAGGGATCATCTATCCAAACACCACCTCATGGCCATCTGGAGAACTACAGTCCAGGCATTGTTCAGTCATCATCAGTATTTTTTTACCTTACAGGGAGAGGTCATCACTAAAGTTCACATTGTACTGTTTTAGTGACTGTGAAGTTCTTTCAATCTGACTGTGAAGTGCTTTCCCTGTTTCAGTGACTGTGAAGTTCTTTCACTCTGATTATGAAGTGCTTTCGCTCTGCTCCCCTACCCCGACAATGAGTGACCTGACAATGCATCAGTAGGTCAGAAATATGAGACCACTAATCCTCCACCTCACCTCCATTGCAAATGAGAGAAGAGTTTTTTACAATGGCTGGAACTGACATTGCATCAGGTCAGGTTAGTAACACAAGATCCACTAATCCCCTTCCCCACCTCCATCACAAGGGTAAAAGATGTAAAAAGTTATTATATTTGAGTAACATTCAGGACATTGGACAATAGGTATACCCCAAAAACTGATGTCCCATTAAACGCCGATGCGCATAACTGACAATTACATATTGGGGGAAATACCTCGCAAATTTTGTTGATTACCTGGAGATCCAACGATTGGGAGAGGAGCAGCAGAGCTGTTTTGAATTTGGTGGGCAGTGACATGATATGAATTAATGCCTAAGAGAGGGCTTTGCACACTGCCTCCGACTCATTCCCGCCACTCTACACTTACACTTACCATGTGTCTCCGACTTCGTGTTTTTTCGTTATTTTTTTACTTCGTATGTTACTCAATCATGCCTAAACACCTCAGTGAAAGTTCCTCTTTTACTGCGCTTCTTAGGGCTAGCTTGATGTCATGTGATAAGGCATAATAAGGAATAAGCGTGGTGATGACCAGCAAAGATTGGTAGACTTGATTATTTTTTTTATTTCCAACTTAGTGTGTTAAGCTGTCATGTCTAAATGCCAGTGATAGTTCCTCTTGTGCTGCCTCTCAGCTTGATGTGATGTGATAAGACATAATAAGAGTGGCGATAGCCCAACAAAGGTTGGTCGAGACTTGAACTTGCCACCCTCGACCGTCTCTACCATCCTCAACACAGGTAAACAAGTGTCAATTTATGCTTTACATTCCTTATTTAATGCTTATTATGCTTGCTCTATATGCCTGCTTTATTTTCTTGCTTGACAGTGTGCACAACAGAGATATATCAAGGGTAGATACGAGTTTTTGGAGGGTGGCTGGTCTGTAACCCCCTGAATTTGGTGTATTCTTATGGAATTAATTGCTTCGATAACCATTGATTCATTAATCAAAGACTTTCCATGATCCCTATATGCATCGGTTATTGGGATATGCCTGTATTCCTACTGTAGGTTCAAAATGACAGTAGTAATATGTATATAATTTTGTTTATTTACAATTTATTGTATGTATACAGAGGCGTTTGCATAAAAAAAATTCAGCTCATCTCAGTCCATGTAGGATCCTCGTTTAGACTTAGGAAAACAGACTCACACGGCTTCATTCACATGGTGCCTTGCACACCCATATCATATAGAATTTTAGTTTTTTAAATGCCGTATATTTACTTATCCAAAATGTTTTAAATTATTTGGATTATTTTAGAGAAAATAAAAGGCGTTTCTAACTTAATTGCTTCACTTACTATTGAAAACAGAACATACATACTCTATACTGTATATCGTTTCTCATGCTTGATTTATTTTTCGTTTTTGTATCTTTTTTTATCTATTTTTATTAACTATTACTAATTATAATTATTATATTATATTTTCGCCCCCCAGGCCCTGATGTGGGTCAGTGACCTGTGCTTGGGTGGGCTAATCCTCATAAAAAAATGTGTTGAAATAAACTGTACTGTATTTTGTTTAAGGATCTTTTATTGAAACACACTTGCAGAGAATTTATTCAGGGTGATTATGTTATCAAATTCATCTCTCTAACACAATTAAAACAAATGCTGTTTGCTTGGGTTAGGAGGTGGTGGTAGTGAGGAAGGGACAGCGATCCTTGCTTCCCAAATTGACTGCATTTTTTTTGGGGGGGGGGGAGGGGTCTGTTCCTCTGTCTCCCTCTCAGCCACTACTGCCTCTCACTCATTTCTCTAACACTATTAGAGGAGATATTGTAAATAAAAGTTTATACAGTACACTTTTTGGCTAGCCATTAATATATTTGCTACAGTACTTAGTTTTTGTATGTATTCAAGACATCTTCAGGTCATGAGACCCACTAATCCCCCAACCTGACAATGGGTGATCTGACATTGCATGAGATCACTAATCCCACACTCCACCTGACATTGATTTCGTCAGATCACTAACATGAGACCCAATAACCCCTACCACACCTCCATCACAACATTTCTTACATTTTTCATTGAAGAGTCGAGTCCTAATCATTGTTATCGTGCTTTTACGACTGAAGTGAGCAGCGAAATTTTGAAAATGTCTGGAAAGGCCAAGGCGCCAAGGAAAACCATGTCTTTGGAAGTGAAGCTTGACATTATGAAGCAGCATGAGACTCTCCAGAGGTTGTGTGGGAGTCAGAGTGATGTCTCCACTCCACCTTCAAGAGTACCCTTAACCTTGAAAGGGACATGTAATGACCAGGTTTGTTCTTAATGATTTGGTGAGTGTTGTTTAACCCCTACGCGGTTTGGGGCATTGATTAATATTTGCTAAGTTAAGGCACACCCAAGTTTAGGGCGTATATCAACGTCCTTGAAAATTTTTAAATTCCCGCTATTCTCTATGGGACCTAGAGCTGTAAATAAACACCTTGAGTTGTCTGGCATACACCCCAGCAGGCAATCATGTGACTAGGCCTCATGTTTCTTGGCAACATGACACTACCTTCATCTGTCCCATTCTGAAAGGATGTCATCACATCATGCTGTCAGTGACACCGA